GTGTAATAACCAATGGGTCTTTCTTGTCCTCTGTGTTTTTGAGTGAGACCATCTAGAGCATTCCCAGAATTTCATGAACAAAAAATGAAAACTCTAAATTATAGCTAGGAAACTCTAGAGCAAAAGTGGAACCTTGGTGGTGCAGTGGTTAAGAGCTTTTTTAGTTGAGTGATAGCCTTTATTCCATCCTCGGATAGCTGAAAGGGATCAGTCTGTTAACTCTTTAGACAATGGTAAAGTGGTTGAGCCAGCAAAGACAAATTAGGTATCCAAGTTCTGCAGTGGCTGCAGAGTCCTAAAAATCCTCTTAACCATTTCTTGGTTGTAAGGACAGGATAAGCTAAGATGATGTCTTTTCTTTCACGGTCAATAGTGACCCATTTCGCTGAAATAAGATGTCCTAAGTTTTTAACAAAAGATTCGGTTAACTGTAATATTTATCGGGAGGCTTCATGACCCCTTTTGGCTAAATGTTGTAATAAGAGAATACTATCCATAAGACATTCCTGCTGAGAGTTAGAACCGACACATAAATCATCCACATATTGCAATAAGGTAGAACACTGTGAACTAAAAAGGCTATCTATCAACACATAAAACCCGAGAAAAGGACTCAGAAAATCTTAAAGTATGGCAGTCCAGGTAAATTGTTGGTTCCTCAAAATGAAAGCAAGAAAATATCGACTGTCCAGATGGAATGTGATGTTAAAAAAAAAAAAAAGAAAAGCTTGTAAAGATCAACAACTTTGAAATGAATGGCTTTGGGGGAAACATTACAAAGAAATAGGTGAGGATTAGGATTTAGGGGGAATCTTGAAATTACTATACCATTAATAGCACTTAAGTCTTGCACAAATCCCCAGCCCCAATTATTGGATTTCTTAACAGGGAAAAGTTTTACAAGGACTGCTGCAAGGGATTATTAATACTTTCACCAAAAGTCTTGAATGATAAGAACATGTCATTCCTTAGCTTCTCTTTTTAAAGAATATTGATAAATTTTAAGTAAAACTTTAGAGGTATGTATTTGAATTTTAGTCAGTTCAGCTGACAATACCTGACCAACAATGGTAGAAGTATTAGCTCATAAATTTTTGGATACAGAAGATATTCTGTAGAATTGGATAAAGTAGGAGAATGGCCTTCTTGCACACATAGCCTGAGTGCTTGTAAATAGCAATAGGCTTCTTCACTTAAAGTATTTCCTATCATAGAGTCTATCTATTGATTTGCTTCAGGTAAATCTAATAACATTTCTTCTGTTCCTGAGAATTTTTGAAAATTCCACTTGGATAACAGATCCCTTCCTAGTAAATTTACTGGAGTATCTAAGCTGAGGAAAAGAGTATATGTCCTGTACATGTCCCAAAGAGACAGAAAAAGGCTGGGAATAGGTTAAAATCTGTTCTTGATTAGTGACCTCCACGGCTCTTGAGGTTTTATTCTTCTAGGGCAAGGGCTTTTGTAAAATTGTGGAGTTTATTGCAGATAAGGTTAAACCTGTGTCTTAAAATTTTACGTTTCTCCATTTATTTGAATAGTAGTTACTCCCTGAGAGTTTAGTGCTACCATAGGAAAACCCTCTGATTTGTCCCTGGAGCCCCTTTATTCTATTTGCTTCTGGGCTACATCTAGTGTTAGGTTGTCTAGTTCATTTTTTGGTTTTAAATTTTCCCTTTTGAAATGTCTGGGCTTTTTACAGTAGTAACAAAAAAAGGGTGAGTTACTGGGCCCAGTCTTAGCCATATGTCACGAGGACCTGTTTTCTGTGGAGAAATTTTGAGGTTGGAACTGTAACTGTTGTAATTACAAGGCCATAAATTCATTTTCTTTAACATTAGTTCTCTGTTCAGCTTCCTCAGTCTTGTGTTCAATAAATTGGGACAAATTATAAGCTAGAGTGGCTAAGTGTGGTTTGCTTCCATTTTTTGAATCTATTTGTGGCATTTGACTAACACAGCTAGCTCCAGGTGGAGGCCATTAACAAAAAGTGATCTGAAAGCAATACAGGATTCAGACTCTTCTAGCTTTAAACCAGAGTTTTCTCAGAAGAGTTTAGTCAAACGGTCCGTATAGTCATAAACATTTTCATCTTTATTTTGTTAGCAACTCTGAACCTTGTTCCAATCTATTTTTCAGGGGAAAACCTTTGGGATAGTTTCAATAAGGCTTGTGACTATAGTTCCTGTATATACTATTAGTTCCATGCCAGGAATGTTAGGCTGGATGTTTAGGGATTCTATAGGATTTTTCCATCGGGCCCTTTTCATGCACCTTTGAGTTGGAATTGACTTGATGGCAATGGGTTTGAGTTACCTGGCCTTATCAGTGAATTTATTAAATTATATAAATCTGCCAGACCATGTTCGTAGATATTAGCCAAGATTCTAAATTCTTGAGTGAAATTTTGAGGATCTTCTTGAGGATTAGGAAATTCTTTCATAGCGTGAAGTTCCGCTTTTGTCCAGGGGACAAAAGTAACTTGCGGTGGCTTCTGACTTTCTTCAGGATGTTTAGTTTCAAAAAGCATTTCACAAACTGGTTTTACATCTTCTAGAGGTTCTTTGAGATAATAGGGATGCTCAGTAGGGGGATTTACAGTGGAGTAGGTAGGTAAAGAGGGGTACAGGGCAGTAACTGCTGGAGGGGCAAAGGTGGAGGAAGGGAGCTGGGTGTCAGAGGCTAAGAGTGGACTACAGATACCAGGGATTTCACCACTTGGGGAAAGTGGGAGCCATTTTGGGAAAGAGAGCTGTCTTAGATATCTAGTGACCTTATAACCTAAATACTACAAGTAAATGACTTTAATAAACAGTAGTTTATTCTCTTATGGTTTAGGGATCTAGAAGTCTGAATTCAGGAGTCCAGCTCCAGGGAAAGGCTTTCTCATTCTCTTGGCTCTGGGAGAAGGTCTTGTTATCACTCTTCCCCTGGTCTAGAAGCTTCTCAGCACAGGCACCCCAGGTCTAAGGATGCATTCTGCTCCTGGTGCTTCTTTCTTTGTGGCATGAGATTCGTCTTTTCTCTACTCATTCTCTACTTTATATCTCAAAAGATTGACTCAAGATACAATTGAAACCTAAGATTTATTCCTGCTTCATTCACATAACTGCCTCTAATCCTGCCTCATTAACATCACAGAGGTTAGGATTTACAACACAAATTATAAGCACATCATATCACAAAAAGGAGGACAACCATACAGTACTGGGAATCATGGCCTAGATAAGTTGACATATTTTTTGGGGACACAATTCAATCCATGACAGAGACATTTTGGGAAAAGGAGCTATTTTGAGAAAGAAAATAATTTTGGGAAAGGGAAGGTGTAGGGGTTGCTGTCGTTCAGGTGATCATCAAGGTTACAGAGCTCTGACACTGTAATTCTTTAATTTCTTTTGAAACACTCTCCTGCAAGGAGGCAAAATTATCATTTTGATTTCTCTTGGAAGCTTCTGAGTACCAATCAAACAATACCACCCGTTGCTTTAGTTTTATTTGTAAGCCCTTACCCTATAAGTTACTGGGCATGAAGTTTAATTTAGTTAATTCAATGGACTCCCACAATAGCTTTTGGTCTTTTAAATTTCCATCTGTAAGTGTATGCCAGCAGCATAAATATAAGTCTGAAGTGCAGATATAATGCTTAGTCATATAAGCTACAGGAATTCGCTTAGGGGCTTCTGTTTCAGTCTTGGAACTCGCATTTCCCATCTTATGGGGCAACTTGCAAGTATTAAAGGCCTAAATGCTCATGTAAATTTTACAGTGCCGGGCAAAGAAAAGAGAGTTCAATAATACAGACTGGCCATGAGATGGCAGTCCCACTAAACTTAATTTGGCAATGAACCCATAAAGATGCTCAGGAGATAAGCAGAAAATGAAGGTAAATAGACAATAGAGCTCTCAAAGAGCCAACTTTGCAATAAGCAGAGGCTTCCTTCCAGCGAACCCAGAGAATCGGAGGAGATGGTTCTGGGCACAAGGGACCCTTGCTGGTACCAGGGCGAGCTGGTTCAATGACTTCTCAGGATTGCAGAGATAATATCCTTCAGAATCCCGTCGCCTACACCAATGGTTGTCTAAGAGTAATCCCCCATACTCTGGTGTCATGGATTGAATTATGTCCCCCGAAAAATGTGTGTTATCAATTTGGCTGGGCCATGATTCCTGGTATTGTGTGATTTTCCTAGATGTTGTAAATCCTGCCTCTGTGATGTTAATGAGGGAGGATGGGCGGCAGTTTTGTTAGTAAGGCAAGACTCAATCTACAAGACTGGATTGTGTGCAGAGGCAATCTCTTGAGGTATAAAAGAGAGAAGTGAGCAGAGAGACAGGGGACCTCATACCACCAAGAAAGCAGTGCCAGGAGCAGAGCGCATCCTTTGGACCTGGGGTACCTGCACAGAGAAGCTCCTAGTCCAGGGGAACACTGATGAGAAGGCCGACAGAGAGAGAAAGCCTTCCCCTGGATCTGATGCACTGAATCTGGACCTTTAGCCTACTTTACTGTGAAGAAATAAATTTCTCTTTGTTAAAGTCATCCACTTGTGGTATTTCTGTTATAGCAGCACTAGATGACTAAGATATCTGGTTAGAGTAAAGTTGAGAGATTTATTGAAAGAGACAGCTCGATCCAGGAAAAGACTGAATTCAATCCAGTACTTCAAAATGGCTACACTGCAGTGATTTTTTTAAAGGAGGAGCAAATAACTTGAAGTACATTACTTGACTGGTATTTACAAATTTAGATCACCAAAAGACACTACTTAATCAGTAGTAGATGTTTTAGAAGGCGAGACATCCTGCGGCAGGAACTTGTAAGTCAGGACTTCCTGTAACCGAAGCTCATAAGGCGACTGGCTTAAAGGATACAGTGTGGTAATTGCAAGGGTATGTGACAGGGTTGCGGGGAAGGAGTGGAGGCAAGGGTTGTCTCAGTGTAGTTATGGCATCATTACTGTAAATTCCTTAGTTTCATGATTAGGTCTGTACGGGAGATGGCTGTTGATAGGTTGAAAATGGAGCCAGCAACAAAGAAGTTGTACCCAAACCTCGAGCTGACCATTTCATATTTATCTCAGGTACCTCAGTTTTAAAAATTCCCTTACACAATCTCATTCTAACCAAAAATTGCAAACATCAGACATTTATATATTAGATATTTTATGAGTGTGTAGTATATTTAATTGAATGTTCATGTGGTGTTTCACTGAAGAATAATGATATTGAACACGTTTGTGTATCTATGTTTATAAAGTGATTGCTGATCACTTCAGTATTTTAATTGAAGTGTTTATTTATGTATGATACATATAGATCTTTTGTTTGATATATTACAAATATCTTATGCCAATATAAGGCTTATTTTATTTTTAGTTTTATAATGCCTTATGGTGGACATGAATTTAAAATTATTACTGACGTCCAAATTATCATTTTTAGAGCAATTAGTAGTCTTTTATTTTTTTAAAGAAATATTAGTCTACCACCAATGACTAAATACATTTATATATTCCACTATGCTTTTTTCTCAGGTTGTATCTTCTATCTTTTTAATTTCACATTTAGGACTATGAGTCAACTTAAACTGATTTATGTGGTGTGAGAAAGAGGCCAAGGTTCAGTTTTGTTTACCATCCCACATCCCAGTTGTTGCTCCAACATTTCTGGGAAAAACTTTCTTTCTTTTCACTTCAAATTGCTTTAGTTCATAAAACTAGTGATTAACATGTGGGGGTCTATTTCTGGACTCTTCTGTACCATTGATCAATTTATCTATCATTTGGTCGCTGCTACACAGTGTTAAACAAGTTAATGCTACACCAGATATTGTGAATAACACACTGTAGAAATTATATATTCTTGCATCTTCCTCTGCAAAATATTGACTTTCTTCTAATAGCTTTATTCCTGCTGGCACACGATTATTCTGTGAAGACCTGGTTTTAGGTTTGGCTAGGATAGGTCTCTTTCAGCTTTGGATTAATCTAATGCATATTCTTTAGTTAATTCCTGCACCATGGTCCTTCTAAGACATATCTCGTTCTGAGTTTCAATTGGAATTATGAGAAATTAACTAAGCTCCCCTAGACTTGAACTCCAAATTCTTTCCCCCTTACATTGGGAATGGCTGAATTTGTCAATGTTTTCATATCTGCTACAGTTTCTTTCTACTGGACTTCCTGGAATTCACAATGCTCAGTGTACAGTCAGTAAATCATTTAAGGAGCGATTGTGCGCACATCTGGGGGGATTTTCTTGATGGGGCTTCCTATTGTCCTGTATTTCTCTCCTCAGTTGACACATATTTTTCCAACCAGACTCAGATGTCTAAGTTAACATAAAAACAAGACTGCTTAAGCTCTATCATCCATGCAGCATGAGGACTGAGGTGTGCCCTCAATTGAAAAGATGGGAAAATATGGATCTCACAGGTTGATTTTATTCTTTCAAAGGTTAGATGGTTTCCAATTTCTGCTTGATTTGGTAACTCATGTAGTTAGATTTTGTTTCATGTTGAGTATGCAATTGTTGTTAGTAGAAATTTAGTCAGATTATAAACTCTTCTGGAAGTCTTCATTATATATAATTTTAAGTATTTTTCAATACTTAGAAATTATTGTAAATAAACATACACACAAATAATTTTTAAAATATAACTCTATGACTTGCTTTCTCCACCTTCATAGTAATATTATATATTTAATACTAATTATCTGTTTGAAAGCAATTCTTTATAGTAAAACATGACAAATACAGCTGAATATATTCTCATATAAATAATGATATATATTTACCTCTTTCTTTATCTGTATATACATGTACACATATATATATATGAAAATAAAGAATAAAAGCAATTAATAAGTCAGTGAGAGGACAGTCCAGTTAAAGGAATGTGAGGCTTGAGTGATATTCCTTCAATAAAAGGGAAATCATTGTATATGTCAGACTATATTGTGTCATATAAAAATGGTGCCTCAAAACACTTCAGTTAAAGATTGTTTTAGTATTAAGAATGTTCTGAAACCCTTGCACTAGCTACTGTGATCAAGTGTGAGTTAAACAAAATAAAAAAAAAGCAGTTTTCTTCCCTAACTCCATAAAAATATGGATGGTTGACAATGGTCCAAATACCCTACTTGATTTTCAGAGACTCCTAGATAATGAAGTTGGGTGAAAGGAAGTACAGGACAGAAGAAAGTTCTAGTGACATGGCTTGGATTGTGAGCACTAATCACATATTATTAAACTGGCTGAGGAATAAGCTGACCTATTTTCAGGAAATGTTTTATTTAAGTAAGTTAGCATTTTGTATTACCTTTGGAGGCAATTCATCCTGTTCCCACAGAAAACTGTATATATACATAACAGGTGATGAATTAAAGAAATGATTGTGAAACCACTGATGAGAATTACCTAGAGATTTTGCAAAACTCATTGAACTTTGATATTTAGTGACATCAATTTACTTAGCTATATTGTAGTGTACTTAATTTTAGAGTCACAGTTGATAAATGCTAATGAAGCTGATTTCAAACCCAAAACAGCACAACCAGAATATGTGTATTTACATATCATTGGGAACATCTAACATGCTATTCTAATCAATGTCCTTCTCACCTTGTGTGTCCTGTGCTGAGGGACAAGGTAAATTAAAAACATATATGAACATTCAGCTTCCCTCTTAAATGTAGCTTTATGTTATATCTACTTTCATGTATCTGTAGTTTTGAATGAATCCACTGGTAGGAATATTCTGTATTGTGGGATCGTAATGAAGTATACGTTTGGGGGAAGTTTTAATAACCTAAAACAAAAATAAGTCACGTTTTCTCTGTTTCCTGAGTTCCAAAGTGTGAAAAAATCCATTCAATACTGATTATTGAGACATGTGAAGATGCTTGTAAAGCCTTAACTAGAAAATATGTCACGAGAAAAGCCAGACTCTGACTTGGAAATATTTGGGGGCTTTTTTATTTGTAATACAAGGGAATTTTGGAGAGTGGTAAATATTTTCATAGTCTTCACTGTGATGATGGTTTCACAGATTCATAAGTCAAAACCTCTCAAAATGTGCATTTTAAATATGTACAGTGTATTTCGTAGCAATTATACATTAATAAAGCCATTAGAAGCCATTAACATTATCATCAATTTAATAGTTCAACAAAATTAGTGGCATGTAAAATTATTATCTCTTTTAGTAAAAATTAAAATACATTCTTAATTTCTAGTGTCATGTCAATACATTTTAATTTACATTTCTGAGTTCAGTGGCAAATTTTGCATATATAAACAAACATATAATTTGAAACCATTAACTCTTTGACTTTAGTAACTGATTTTCCTCCTTCATTATCATAATACAGTACTTAATATATTCTACATTAATTATGAAGGAACTCTGGTTACACAACGGTTAAGTACTCCACTGCTAATCAACAGGTCATCGATTCAAACCCACAAGCCACTCCATGGGAGAACTGACCTAGCGATCTGCTCCCATGAAGATTACAGCCTGGAAAACCCTGTGGGGCTGTTCTACACTGTCCTATAAGACTGCTATGTGTCAGAATCGACTCAACGGCATACAACAACATTAATTCTATATTTTAAAACAATTCTTTCTCAATAAACAATAATATCTTAAAACATGACAGATATAATTGGTATAACGTTCATCTTTAAATAAAAATATTTTTGTTCATTAATTCTAATATCTTTTTTTGTAAGACATTTTTATTTGGTAGAAAACTTAAGATTTTTTACTTACACCCATGTTTTACTCCTTTACAATCTTTTTGAATTCGTTATTATGATATTTTTTAAATGTCTGCCATTTTCTCTTAAAGTTCAATATGAGTATTTCCCAGTTACGTAAATGGAAACTCCAATGAGATTCAAAGCAGAAAAAACGGTTGTCATGGAATCAATATCGACTCACGGTGACCCCATGTGTGTCAAAGTAGAACTGTGCTTCATAGGGTTTTCAGTGGCTAATGTTTTCGCGGTAGATCACCTGGACTGTCTTCTGAGGTGCCTCTAGGTGGACTGAATCTGCTAACCTTCTGGTTACTAGTTGAACTTGTTAACCATTTGTACCAACAATGAGATTTAGGATACCTCACTGAATATGATTTATCGACAGAATATGATTAAATGGACTTTATTCATTAATTTGCAGGATAATTCATTTTAATAATTTTTGAATGCTGAGTTTGATATGTTATTTATGTCTATTTGGGCAAGTTCCTTCACTAACAATAACAACAACAACAAAACAAAGCTTTCTATACAGTTTTAAGTTTCCCGACTAAAATACCACAGTCATCCGGTTCAACTGGATTGATGGCTCTGTCATCAGTGTACTTGCTAAGGAACCTAGTCGATGTGTAATCTGTCTTTTCCTGTTTCCCAAGTGTATGTTAAAAGGCCTGTCTTCTGTTAGAGATGGCAATAAAATATAAGACATAGCAGAGGAAGGGCAAAGTGCCAACTTGAAAGTGACCAGTAGAATTTGGACAAAACCTGCCTGAGATTCAAGTTGAAAACTACTCTTCTTCAGTAACTCTCTCTAAAAGTGGTCTTTAAGAAAGCTACTCACTTAGTAAAGGAACAGAGATAAAAGTATTTTTATGTATCCAGTAGCACAATATTTACTGAGCAATAATACACTGTTTCATGCTGCAATACAAAAGCTGGAAAGGGAAAACAACAACCAAACACACACATCCATGCTTCACAGCAGTTCTCTTAAAACATTTTAACAACTAAATACATGTAAAGCAAAAAATATATGCATCAAAAGATAAGACTCTATTAACATTCACAGAGAAGTGAAATGATTTTCAACTCCTGAATTGGGTGGCCAGATAAGGGAGATTTTTTTTTTTTAAAAAAAAAGCAAACCAAATCAATTGCCATCAAGTCAATTCCAACTCATAGCAACCCTATATGAAAGAGTCAAACTGTCCCTTAGGATGTCTAAGATGCCGCTGGTGGATTCGAACTGCCAACCTTTTGGTTAACAGCCTGAGTTTTTAACCACTGCCCTACTGGAGCTCCAAGGGAAATGGGGGAGGTCTGAACACAGAAGTTGTGCCTGGCACATATTAATCACTTCATAAATCTTTGCTGAATGTTCTTGAGTGAGTTTTTGGAAGGATGATTAGATTGAGATCAATGGAAGATGGAGAGATTACTCTGAGCAGTGGAAACAAGGGGAACAAAGATCATGGAGGTTCAATCATGTGTGGCTATTTATGAAGAATAAAAGCACTGTAATTTGCTTGAACTTTAGAATTTATTAATGGAAGTTGTATGCTGTTAAGGTGATTCTGACTTACAGTGACACTACAGGACAGAGTAGAACTGCCCCATAGGATTTCCTAGACTGTAAACTTTACTGGAGCAGATCGCCAGGTCTTTTCTCCTGCAGAGCAGTTGGTGGGTTCAGACTGAGGACCCTTTTGGTTAGCCCCTGAGTACTTTAACCATTGCACCACCAGGGCTCCTTTGAATGAGAGTAACCAGGGATAATGCTTGAAATCCCATTATCAGTTTACAAGAGTATCTTTCCCCCCAGCCACACCTCTCAGAATGATGGCATTCTCATTCTTTATTTTCAGATAAACAACTTCATATTTTACAGTGCTTCCTATCACACCATTTACTAGTTTTAATTATTTTGGAACATCAACTTTGATTGCTACCAGAATGAAGAAAAATGAATTTCCCTGGTTTAATCCTTTGTTAGCGGAATTGCTACATGTACCTTTTACAAAGGACAAAATAAATAAATATAGAATAAAAAAAATAAGGAAAAATAGTGCTATTCTGATATAAGGCCTTGAGCTTGAGAAGCATACCAGCCTCACTTTCTCAAAAGCACTATAAAAAAAAAATTATACATTTTCGAAAAAGGGCAGTGATATTCACTCAGAAATGGATAAACATTCCTAAATATTTCTAGAGGACATTCATCAGAATTTAGTAATTATATCTTTGTTGTATTTTTCCATTGTTTTTACTGATCTTTTTTTTAGTGAATATTTTATATTCAAATCCTCTTTACTGAAAATGTGAAAGGCAAAGGAAGTGATAAAGGAAGTAAATGGAGAACTATAAATAGCAGCATATTTCTTAGCCCTGCAAAGTCTAACAGATACAATCACCTTTACCCTCTTCCTCTGAATTTACGTTTTTGTGTGATTTTAATCTTGGAGGTACTTAAAAAAGGTATACACGTTATGTGACTCCAAAACTGACCTCCTGAAATAGCTTTGTAGGTTTAAGAAATAAATTTTCTCAGTCCGCAAATAACTAATAAAAGTGAAAAATTCAGCTAAATAGTAGTATTATTAACTGTATTTAATACTAAATACAATAATACAATTAATTGTATTATTTATTTAAATAAAGTATTATTTTTATTAATGTCCAGTATTATTTGTTTTGTTTTTCCCGAGAGAACTTGCAATGTTCCGGAAATAAAACATATGGTGAAAATCAACCTAAACAAACCTTCCCAGTTGCTATAGGAAAATATTTCTCCTATACCTGTGATCATAGCTATGTATCTGCTTCACAGTCTCTCTGGACTCGAATAACCTGCACAGAGGAAGGACGGTCACCAATACCAAAGTGTCGCAGTGAGTAAATGCTCTCACCATTATCAGAAAGAATCATTCATGAGTAGAGTGAGATATGCCAGAAAGGATCAGTCTTCACAATCATAGGGGTGGGGACTAGATGAGCTAACATATATATGTCAGTCTTCTTCTTTTTATAAGGAGTCGTTTATGTAAATCTAATAAGGAAAAAATGTATACTTTTGCTAAATATTTTAAAATCTAAGTATTTTAGTTTTAAATACTACTTTTAAATACAGTGATTTTAACTACTAATAAACACTCATTTTACAATTGTGTGAACACAGCTTTTTTTCAAGAAACTCCATTGTTTTGTATATTTCATGTAAAATTTTATATTCTTTTGAATATTCAAGCTGCAGTTTTGTTTATACTGTTTTCCCTATTTTTGTGTTTTCCAGTATCACATATTTTTGTTCCTTAATGTGTTATTCTTTCAATGAATGTAGAGAAAAGGCAGAAAGTGAAAAAGAGAGGATCCTGAGAAACAGCTGGGAGCACACTAAGGAGAAAAAAGGCTTTTGCCTCCACCTCTGGAAAGCAACTCATGAGACTCAAATGAGAAATAAAAATGGTAACTTTTTTAATATCTAAAACAGTCTTACAAGTAAAAGTTGCTTTCTATTACAAAGAAATGATTGGTGGAACTGCATATTTATTTTTCTTTTTTAACACGCACAAACTAATTTTTAAGTAATTTTTACACGTGATTTCTTTTTTAAGGATTGTAACATGCAATACTTTTTAAATTCCATGTTACACATTATTCATCTTTTGGGTCTTTAGGACAGTGCTTTTTTCCTTCGGTGGAAAATGGCCGTTCGTCATCTTCAGGACAAATACATCTGGAAGGTGACACTGTGCAAATTTTATGTGACACGGGCTACAACCTTGCAGATAATCAGAGCAGCATTACATGTATGGAAGATGACTGGTCCTCTCCTCCCAAACGCAGCCCTGCCGGTAAGTAAAATACTGTCCTATAAGCACCAGGTGTGTTTTCGATTTTATAAAATCAAAGAAATAACTATATTAAATATATGCATTACTGCTTTTCTTGTTTTTGTAACCTTTTCAGTCTATGGTTCCAGTTGTCTAAGTAGGTATACAAAGCTGTGGCTAGTCACTAGAAAATCAATGTGTCTACTCTCATAAATTAAACACAGCTAATAATAGAAAACACTAGTCAAGAATATAGTGAAAATCCTTGAATGATACTGATGTTTCAGTAACTCAAATTCAATGTGTACAGTGAAATTACGCAAAATAAGACTAAAGATAAAATTTTAAATAGAAGTCATAGTTAAAATATCATTTGTCATACGTGTTTCATTTATCTTTATCAAAAAATCCGTTGCCGTCGAGTTGATTTCGACTCATAGCGACCCTATAGGACAGAGTAGAACTGCTCCTTAGGGTTTCCGAGGAGCGGTTGGTGGATTGGAACTCCTGATCTTCTTGGTTAGCAGCCACACGCTTAACCACTGCGCAACCAGAACCCCCAAGAGTCTTATGAGTTTTGATTCGCGGCAATCCCCTCCCCGCCCCGCCCCGACCTCCCAAACCTAAGACCGCACACATCGCGGAAGGGCGCCTCGGGCCGACCAGAGGAGACAACAGAACCCGACTCCGGAAAGGTCGGAAGGATTCATGGACCGGGGCCCGTCCTCACCCAGCCCCAGAGGGGCGAGCTGGACGCGTGCACCATTCCGGGGAGGAGAGGCCATTCCGGGAGAGCAGCCCTCGGCTACACGTCCCCAGCGGGCGGCGGCGGCGGCGGGAGCGGAGCGATGGATCGCCGGCGGCCGGGGAAGCGATACACACTGGGGTGCGGCCTCGGATCGGAAGCCCCATGGACGACGAGACGTGGGCGGGCGGCGGAGAGGGAAGGGAGGACACCGGCAAGGCGGCGGCGGCGGCGGCGAAGGGGGGCGGGGGGTAGTCGGACCCCACCAACCCACTACGGTAACGGAAACCCACGGACCCTTCGGGCAACCATCGCGTGCTCGACTGCCCGACACCACCGACCAACCCGGCGCGCGCGAAGCCTAGGCCCGGTCCGAGGGCACAAAGCCGGGGATACCATCAGCCGGAGCGACACTCAACGTGGCGAGGCCGGCTTCGGTCCCGGACCGGGGGCCACGCGGTACGACCGGTCGGACGACGGGGGATCGACAACGGCGAGGAGGCTGTGGCGCGCGGAAAGGCCAGCGGGCACCGCCGGGGCGGGGGCGCGGGCGCGCGCGGACGGCCTGGGGAAATCCCTGAACGCAGTCGCGGGGAAAACGCACACGTGGTCTTACCGGCAGAGCATTGAGCACAAGGGCGGCCCTGTGACGCCTGAACGCCAGCTGGCCTCGGCAACGCTGAAAACCTCCCACGGCCCGGCCCCGCCACCAAGGCCACCGAACCCCCGCGCGACTTCGAACGCAGCCGGCTGCGCCCCACCCACTCTGCGGAGGGGCCCCTCGTACGTCCATCCGTCCGGTCCAGGGGCTCACCCCGCGCGGGTGTCAGCTGCGACGGGACGTGAGCGGCGGAAAGCTGCACGACGGCGTGGGGGACGGGGGGAGAGGTTGGGGCGGGCCCCGCCCCCCCCCGCCACCAGGTGCGCGACAGGAGAACCACGCGCACGCGGCCCCATCGCTGGACGCCAGCCCGGCATGGCGAGACCCTCCCTGGACTCCGAGGGGGAAGGCGTGGGCCGCGGTAGGCGAAGAGCGGCGCGCGGTGCCACTGGGTGCCGGCGGACCCCTCCTGGGAAGGAGGGGGCTCCGCCTACAAGCCACTATCGGTGGCTACGCGCTAGAGAAGGGGCAGCGGCTGGGGATCCTATCCTATACCCCAAGGCACCCCCGAGAATCGCTAGAGGAGGCCTTCTCACCCAGGACGGGCGGTCCCCACCCACCGCCCCCCGTCTGGCCCTGCAAGGCGCTCAGTGACGCCAGGGTAGTGGGGGTGAGGGGAATCTGCGGTATTGGTAAGCATTGGCGAGGAAAAGCATCGCGAGCATTCGCGGCCGGGACCGAAGCCTGCCGCCTCAGGCTCACCGGTTTGCCTCATCCCTGCTTTTGTGCCCCGTTTAGTACCGTGTCCACCCTTCACTTATGCAGCGAGGGAACAGAGTACTGCAGCAGCAACCGAAGGCCCGGGAAGGTTGCATCCATTTTTCTTTCCACTAGAGCCAGATTTGGTGAAACGCAGGGCCTCGCGGGTACGCGGCACACGCGAACTTTGGAAAACGACGGTACACGCGGCGCGCGCGGTTTATGTCAAAAAGAGTAGCTTATCCAGCGAGGCCCAACATTCCCGGACTCCTCTGTAGAGGGGTCCGTACTGTCGGGTGGCCTGCGGGGATACCTACCTACAACAGATCTCTGGCGCCCATCCGCAAATACGCGATCAGAGCCACCCACCCCCTCCCCCACCGAGGGCGACTTCATGTAGCACCAGCCGAGCGCTGGTGGATTCGAACTGCTGACCTTTTGGTTAGCAGCAGATCCCCTTCAGTTCTAATTTACAGTGATTCAAATTTAAAGACTATTGTTTATAGGTAAATACTTAAATTGAGTAACAGAAAATAACTACTATTTTCAGAATTGTCTTTTAGAATTATGGAAGAAACAATATAGTTGTGAATAGAAATACTAGAAGTGTGAAAAAGAAAAGGAGAAGAGAGCAGTGCTAAGTGATAATAAATAGGATAGTGTGATGGGCGTGATGATAGGCACACCAGAAGCAACTGAGAGGGAGGCAAGATTCTAAACTCATTTGCCAAAATACAGAACACCATTAGGCTTAATTTGAGCAATATCTAACACTGACATATTTTGCTAATTAAAAAAAAACTTATGTGTGTGCTCATATATCTAATTGTTATTAGTATGTTTTCCTCTTAGCAATGGAGAACTATGATACTAATCAATATGGGAGAACACGGTAAAATTTATTTTTCAGAATGCTCACTTTGGCAGAGTGGCGATGGATTGGAATGAAATTCAGGAGCCAAGTTTAGAGACCACTGCAACAGGAGCAGCGTCCCTGGGTGGTGTAAAGGGTTACTACACTTGGATGCTAACCAGAAGGTTATAGGTTAGAGTCCACGCAGAAGTGCCTTGAAAGACAGGCCTGGTGATGTACTTCTGAAAAATCAGCCATTGAAAGCCCTATGGAGCATAATTCTATTCTGACACACATGAGGTAGCCATAAGTCATAGCTGACTCCACTGGCAACTGGTATATTAAACTTCTGCTATGTCTTAAAAAGGAAACCCTGGTGGTACAGTGGTTAAGCGCTATGGTTGCTAACTAAACGGTCAACAGTCACATCCACCAGCTGCTCCTTGGAAACCCTATGGGGCACTTCTGTTCTATCCTATAGGGTTGCTATGAGTTGGAATCAACTCCATGGCATACAACAACCACAACTCCTGCCCTGAACCCAAAAACTGAACCCGTTGCCATCAAGCAGCTGGTGGATTTGAACCACCAACCTTCTGGTTAGCAGCCTGAGCTCTAAACCACAGTGCCACCAGGGCAGGAGTGGGAGGGGGGTGGTATAAAAAATTAACTTTCTGCTTGACTCTGCTGAAGTTGGGTGGTGGTGTGGCTTTTTCACTGGTGTTTGGCTAGAATAGGGTGAATGTTAACACAAAAGTTTTCTGTTATTAGTCTACCCTTTTCCTCATCCGTTGACTAGGGGAACGACTTTTCTTCTAACTTTTCTGTTTGAGCTTCTTGGAGGCTCCAGTTTGGAGACTTCTCCTCCACCCCGTCCAGGATGTAGGGGAGGCAATAAGGAGATCCAGAGGTGCCTAAGCAGTCTTCCCCCTGCTTTCCTCCTTTCAGAGTCGTCTTATGCTTCTTTGTTGTGTTAGGTGCATGGTTTTTAGTTGTGAGAGAAAAGACCTGGGAGGAATGGAGGTACTCCATCTAGGCTTCGATAAGTTCTTACAAAGTTGTAAAACACTTTCTCAGTGTTTCTAATGTTTTAAATTACTGCTTGCCATATGAAATAGTTTTAGTATTTCTAAATTTACCCATAAATTTATAACCAACAGTAAGAGAATTCTTAATGTTCTAACAACGTTTTAAATATCAAGAAAATAACATTTTTCCCGTGGATTTTAAATTTCTTTGCATAATTTTAGCTTGAACCATTATTTTTATGGTCCCACACAACTGTACATAGAGAGGACTGTACATAGAGAGGACTGCCTATAATGAATTCCATTTTGGTAGGCATTTAATTTGTTACGAATCAACTTGATCCTTTAAAGGCTTATTTTTAAGCTTTATTAAAGCTGGCTTTAGGAGTCTTTACTTCAGGACAAGTTTTTTCAGAATACTAATAAGGCCACTTCTGTAATTTCTGATCATGATGTGGGTGTTCAAAGGGGTCTTTCCTTTCTGACTGGTCAAATGTGCATGTCTCCCTGTTTTGTGTGTTTTCTGGAAATTGATGACTTTATTGTTCTCTGGTAGTTATTCTTTGCCTGTATTTTCATGGAGTTTTGCCCTACGCATTTACAGCACGTTAGTGTTCAGTCAGACTCCGCAGGCTTGCAAAGCAGATTTGTAGAGAATTTTCACTCCATAGTTTCTTCTTCTCTGTCTCTCTATCTTGGAATTTCTAGTAACCTCAGCTTGTTTGAACGCTGATTTTTATTTCTTCTATTGAGCAAGACTGCCGTTCTCTGCCTGGGTTCTTCATTCCTGTAGTCTTGTCTGGAAAATGTCTCCAAGCTTGAAACCAATTTGATAAACAGGCTCACCTCATTTGTCTCTTTCGCTCTGGGATAATAGTGTCAAATAAAAACAAATCCAGACTTAGAAAGAGGCACTTTATTCAGAAAGAATATTGCAATAGGGAGATTTCTCTGATCTCAGAAGTTTCCAAGCATCTCAAAATTAAACAGAAAAAAAAAAAATACTTCTTTTATAGGGAGGAGTGAAAAGAGCTAGCAGGAACTTTGTGGAGGAGAGGGCATGATTTGGTGGTGTGCACCTGCCAAAATCAGAGTGCTTCAACAGGAAAAGTTTCTCTTTGTGATTGGCTAATTCTCAGAATGAGCTATCAAGGGAGAGTGTTCTGCACATTAGTGATTTAGTGCTTGTTTACACTTGGAGGTAAGCCAAATTTTAGGGGTTTTTGGAGAGGAGAGGAGTCCCTGGGTGGTGCAAATGATTGATGTACTCAGCTGCTAACTGAAAGGCTGGAGGTTTGAGTCCACCCAGAGGTGCCTTGGAAGTATGGCCTGGTGATCAACTTTTGAAAAATCAGCCATTGGTAACTCTATAGAGCACAGTTCTGCTCTTGACACATATGTATTGCTGTGAGTCAGAGTTGACCCAGTGTTAACTTTTTGGGTGGAAAGGAGAGAAGCTTGACTGAAGTTTGGTCAAGACAAAACAAGAGAATAAGAAATGGGCAATTGTGAACATATAGGCAGTAGTCAGCCGTTGCCTGATTTCCAATGCCTGACCGAGGTTATTTTCCTATATTTGGTTCCGTTTCCGCATTATTTATGGCTGGAACTCTCTTTTTCTTGATTATTCTTGCCTAATATTAAACAATTTTATTACCAGTCTTCAAATAATTAACTTTATCTTTGTTAATTTTCTCTACACTTTGCTGTTTAATTTCTGCTCATACATATATATATTAGTTAGACTTTTCTTTCTTTTTTTTACATAATATTTTATCATATTTTCGGTGAAAGTTTATGCAGTAAATTAAGATCCCATTTGACAATTTCTATAGAAATTGTTCAGTGACATTAGTTACATTTTTCACAATGTGTCAGTGTTCTCTTCAGTTGCGTTCTGGTTGTTCCGTTTCCAGTTCTCCAGTTTCCCTGCCCCTTTATATTCTCATTTTTGCTTTAGAGTAATTGTTGACCTTTTGATCTCACGTAGATGCTTTTTAACGGAGCATCATTCTCATGGGTAATAGCCTTTATTTTGTGTGCCAATTTGTTACTTTATGAAAAGATGACATTAGGTGATAGTTTCAGTTCAAGGTTTAAAGAATGTCTCAGGGCAATCGCCTCCGGGAGTCCTCTGGTCTCAACTAATGCAGTAAGTCTGGACTTTGTAAGAATGTGAGTTCTGTCCTGCATTTTTCTCCCGTTCTATCAGTGTCCATTTTTGTCGTCTTGATCAGAACAGTCAGTAGAGGTAACCAGGCATAACCTAGTTCTTCTGGTCTCAGGGTACGTGAGGCTGTGGCTTTTGTAGCCTTTTAGCCCTGTAGACTAGTTGCTTCTCTGAGACTTTGGATTCCTTCTTTCTTTTGCTCCTGATGAGCAGAGACCAGTAGTGGTATCTCAGATGACTTCTCACAGGTTTTTGAGACTCAGACGCTACTCATCTCACTAGGATGCAGAACATGAGCTTTGTGAACTATATTATGCCAATTGTCTGACTTATCCCATCAGACTAAGGGTGTAAGCCTTCAAACCCAGAAAACCAATCTTGCAAGGTGTTTGGTTATGTCTGAGAAGTATTTGTAACTGTGTCTTCTATGAATATATATGCATGCACACACATATCTGTAAATACACGTACATGTAGATGCTTCTATCTGTGCACATATATGTACACACCTGCCCTTACCTGTACACATATATGCCTATACACGTACATATGTGACCATACACTCATTTTTGGTTATTGTTGGTGTTGTTGCAAAATTATATATCTCATATTCTTTAGCACAAACATCCTCTTCTTTTGTGCACTTCTTGGTGGCATCATTACTTTGGTCAAAGTGTGCTTATTACACCCACATTCTGTGCTACTTTTCCCATCACCAAGAATAACAAGTATCTATGATCTAGAGATTGATTTCCACTCCTCCCCACCCCAACTCTGGTAACCACCAATGAACATTGGTCTCTGTATATGAATCTATTCTGGTCTTCTTACAAAAGTGGCATCATACAATATTTGTCCTTACGTGATTGACTTATTTCACTCAGCATTATGTCCTCCAGATCCATCCATGTTATTATATGTCTTGTGGACTCCTCATTGTTTTTTATGGCTGCATAGTATTCCATTGTGTGTATGTACCACATTTTGCTTATCCAGTCATTCACTGAAAGGCACTGTCTTAGTTATCTAGTGCTGCTTAACAGAAATACTACAAGCGGATGGCTTTAACAAACAAGTTTATTCTCTCACAGCCTAGTAGGCTAGAAGTCCGAATTCAGAGCACTAGCTCCAGGGGAAGGCTTTCTGTCTCTGTCAGCTCTGGAGGAAGATCCTTGTCATAGATCTTTTCTTGGTCTCTGAGCTTCTCTGTGCAGAAACTTGGGTCCAAAGACCACACTCTGCTCCTGGCACTGCTTTCTTGGTGGTATGAGGTCCCCCTACCTCTCTACTCGCTTATCCCTTTTATTTCTCAAAGAGATTGACTTAAGACACAGCATAATCTTATATCTTGAGTCCTGCCTCATTAACATAACGTCCACTAAACCGGTCTCATTAATATCATAGCGGTAGGATTTACAACACATAGGAAATCACATTCAGATGACAAAATGGTGGACAGTCACACGGTACTGAGAATCATGGCCTAGCCAAGGTGACACACATTTTGGGAGGACACAATTCAATCCATGACAGGCACTTGAGCTGTTTCCATTATAATGCTTCAATGAACATAGGTGTGCATATGTCTGCCTGTGTCTCTTTAACTGTTTTAATTACCACATAGGAATACAGCCTGATCTGATCTAATAGTCCAAGTATTAGAGATTAGGAAATCTAAAGCTCATTTTACTCTCCTTCTGGATTCTAGTCACTACAAATATATACAAGGATCACCATGTAAATGGAGGTTAGAATTGCCACTTGGTTAATGAACAGATATTTATCCAATAACCAGCCAACTGCAGGAATCTCTGGTAAAAGCTGAAGTAGAGAACATGATGTAGATGTATCTCCCCACTTCCCTGCAAAGGGAGATTTGTTGTGGTCTTAGTCTTACAGAAAAGAGGCAGAAATAAGAAATACCGGAGAGCTCTGCCCTTTCTTACTCATCCATAAAACAATCGGTGAAAAGGAGAAAACTGTAGATCCTGTTTTCACGTTTGAGCTAGTAACCCCAATCTCTGTTCATCATGGAAATAAAAGAATAAAAGACCAATCAGACTCTTTCCTAGTCCCACAGTGAGAAGTAGGGAGAGAGAAGCAAAGTGATCACTCAAACAATCCTGTTTCAAAAAGCGAATGGAAGACTTTTCATCTGTAGAAGTGAGGGGAAGGGATAAATGCTTCATTTAGAGATGCTCTAGAGTACATCTACATCAGAATCAACTGAGGTGCTTATTAACTGAAATTCATGGCTACTAAAGGAGACGTATTTTATCAGCATCTCTGAAGGTGAGGGGATAAACCCACTGCCTTCGAGTTGATTCCAACTCGTAGCGATCCTTTAGGATAGAGTAGAACTGTCCCATAGGGTTTCCAAGGCTGTAATCTTTACGGAAACAGACTGCCACATATTTCTGCAACGGAACGGCTGGTGACTTTGAACCACTGACCTTTTAATGAGCAGCCAAGCGCTTAACCACTGTGCCACCATGGCTCCTTGGAGGTGAGAGGATAATACCTAAAATTCACATTTTAGCACCCCAATGCTAAATAAAAAGCAGGCCAGTCATTCTACTGTAAAATAAAGTTACTTTAGGGAAGTTGGAAAATGTTAACTAAAATCAAAAGAGGTACTCAAATTATTTTGAACATTGATGTTGGAGTGGATAAAAATCTTATGGATTATTTCTTTATTGAAGTTAATGTAATAATAAAAGTTGATTTTACACATTTTAGCAATACAGTGTTACATTAGTCTGGGGCACAAATGGTAATTTGCATATGATTATCCCCAGTTTTATATTTTGCAATTACTTTGGAGACACTTGTTTGTTACTATAAAAATACAGACGTTCAAAGTAGTAACTTTTTTTGCCCACTTCTGTAGAAAACAATCAGAAGAGAAAGATACTATTTTTTTTGTTACTCAGCTGCATGTCTCTTGTAGATAGGTATATCAAATGCTTCTAAAAGAAACAAGTAATTTGTTCCAATCTCATCTTGCTTGTGAACACACACGTATGTGTATATATGTATATATATGTGTGTGTATGTTGTAATTGTTGTTAGGTGCTGTCGAGTTGGTTCTGACCCATAGCGACCCAGTGTACAACAGAACGAAACACTGCCCAGTCCTTGGCTGTCCTCACAATCGTTCTTATGCTTGAGCCCATTGTTGCAGCCACTGCGTCAGTTCATCTCGTTGAGGGTCTTCCTCTTTTTCGCTGACCCTCTGCATTACCAAGCATGATGTCCTTCTCCAGGGACTGATCACTCCTGATAACATATTCAAAGTACATGAGACATAGTCTCCCCATATTTGATTCTAAGGAGCATTCTGGTTGTACTTCCAAGACAGATTTATTCATTCTTTTGCCAGTCCCTGGTATATTCAATATTCTTCTCTAACACCACAATTAAAAGGTGTCAGTTCTTCTTCAGTCTTCCTTATTCATCACCCTCCTTTCGCATGCATATGAGATGATTGAAAACATCATGGCTTGGGTCAGGTGCACCTTAGTCTTCAAGGTGACATCTTCGCTTTTCAGCACTTAAAAGAGATCTTTTGCAGGAGGTTTGCCCAATGCAACGCGTCTTTTGATTTCTTGATTGCTGCTTCCTTGAGTGTTGATTATGGATACAAGTAACCTGAAATCCTTGACAACTTCAAGGATGTATGTGTATGTATATATTATAGGAGACCTGGTGGTGCAATGCTTAAGCTCTTGGCTGCTAACCAGTTGGTCACCAGTTCAAACCCACCAGCCACTTCACTGGAGAAAAGACCTGGCAATGTTCTCCTGTAAAGATTATAGCCTAGGAAACCCTATGGGGCAGTTCTACTCTGTCCTATAGGTTCATATGAGTGGCATGTGAGTGATATGAGTGGGAATCGACTCAACGGTACACAATAACAGCAACACACACACGCACACGTTCTTCATGTAAAGTTTTCCACTCATGTTAAAAAAAGTTGTATTTATTTTTTCAGTTGTTAAATGTTTACCAGTAACAGAACCAGAGAATGGGAGAGTTATCTCTGGTGCACTGGAATCAGACCAAGAATATTCTAGTGGACCAGCGGTACAGTTTGAGTGTAATTCACGCTTCACTTATTTTTTATTTGATCTTTTGAATATTTTTAGCTTTTATTATGAAAATATGCATTTCAACACATTGTCCATTATAAAGAATGTAAATAATAACTGACGTATTGAGCAGGTTGTATTTCCATAATTGATGTAAGTCCTTTATGAATGCCATCTCATTTTACCTTCTAAACAATTCTTTGATTTATGTACTGTTATCTTCTGTTTTATATTTGAAGAAACTGAGGTCCAAAGAAGTTAAATAAGTTGCCCTAGCTTACTATGACATAAATGGTAGAATTAAGATTCAAACCTTGGTTATTTGACACCAAAGTCCATGGGCTCCCTTGGGGCTTTTTAAAATCTTGTTTTGGTTTCTTGTTTTTCTATACCATCCTTCCTTTCTTGTCTCCTGAACACGTTGCACCCTGTGCCATCTCTGCTCCTTCTTGATGGGCTGTGCAGTGCCATGTGGCTAGGGATCCTCTTCCCTAGTCTGTACCACCATGATGGTGGGCTCCCTTAGGCATGTTATTTTTTTCTTTCTTCTTCTTTTCTTTTCTCCATTCATTGTCTCTCTTATAGGCTGAAATAGAATGGTAAACATTTCTGCTTCAAGCTGGATTATTATAATATTGGTCTCCAGAATGTATTTTTTTAAATTTTAAGAAGCATTTATTTATTTCTACTGATCGTTGTGATGACATTCTGTTTTTTAATAACACTTCTAGGAAGTGAGTTTGTTTTATGTTTGCTATATTTGCACTGTGAGTTTAATATAAACATTGGATGAATGAAACTGAATCCACTAAATTAATCTTTGCCTTTTAAAAATAATTCTATAGTAAATTGTAAGCCAAGTTTCTTTATTTGTAATATTTCTGACATGTGACTAATCTGATGATTTTGGCTTTTGCAATGAAACTTTATGTTCCATTTGTTTGACTTAGCACTGTACTGCATTTTACCAATACTCTGACAGAAATTTTTATTTTTTAACATCATCCAAAATTTCCAAATTCTTTAGACTTACTGTCTTAGTCATCTAGTGCTGCTCTTAAAGAAATACCACAAGTGGATGGCTTTCACAAAGAGAAATTTATTTTCTCACAGTCTAGTAGGCTAGAAGTCCAAATTGAGGGCGTCCACTCCAGGGGAAGGCTTTTTCTGTCTGTTGGCTCTGGAGGAAGGTCCTCGTTGTCATCAGTCTTCCCCTGGACTAGGAGCTTCTCTGCGCAGGAACCTCGGGTCCAAAGGACGCGGTCTGCTCCCAGAGCTTCCTTCTTGGTGGTATGAGGTCCCAGTTCTCTGCTTGTTTCTCTTTCCTTTTATCTCTTGGGAGATAAAAACTGGTGCAGGCTACACCCCAGGGAAACTCTCTTTACATTGGATCAGGGATGTGACCTGGGTAAGGGTGGTGTTACAATCCCACCCTAATCCTCTTTAACATAAAATTACAATCATGAAATGGAGGACAACCACACAATTCTGGGAATTGTGGCCCAGCCAAATTGATATACACATTTTTTGGGGGACATAATTTAAACCATGACACATAGCCTAGTCTACCCCACAGTGAGATCCATACAGAAGCATTTCTCTTCTTAGGAATCCTTTCTGACAAAACTAGGTCTTAGAGTCAATGATGGTTAACTAATACTGATAGCCTAGCAAATACTGCATACTGTAGAGGCTTATGGAAGGGGTTTACATTTGTGCAGCTAGTTTTCTGTGGCTAGTAAAAGCTTCCTGGAATTGTAGATGTGCAAGAAAAGTCTTAAAGAGAAAATGGGCATATTTCAGAAGTTGAGGATGGGATGAGTATGCCATGGGGAGGAAGATGCAAATGCACTGAGGCTTATGCTTATTTGTTGTTCATTGTTCACAGGGGCCTTAGTGTAGGAGGCAAGTAAGAAGTCAGTGATAGATTGTAGATAGGCCAGTGCAGGGTTCTGATGTGCTGTATACATGACGCTGAAGAATTTGGCTCTTATTCAGCCTGATTTGGGGATCAATGAAAGAGGGTAAGTGGAGTGACAGTGACCAGATGGAAGACCATTAAGTTATACACTAGGAAAATGTATTAGAAAGATTGGAGATTAAGGAAGCCATAATCCCTGGAAAAAAAATGTTTGAGAGAAGGTGGTATCAAAGATGATGGCTAGGTTTTTATTGACAGAAAAACTGGTGGATGGTGAAGCCACAAATGCAAAAAGTCAGTTGCTTTTCAGAAACATAGTAAGAAAGAGTTAATTTCATTGACAGTTTTTAGATCATAATTATAATTGATAACTGGAAAATGTGTGACTTTTGTCGTTCACTTAGTAAAAATACCACAGTAAACATTTTATTCATACATTTGAAGAATATTACTGGCCATCATTTATTTAGAGGATGAACCGATCCTCAAACCAAGTAAAATTAGCAAAATAAATTAATCAAAATTTTAATGTCCTTCAAAATGAATTTTAAGAAAATAGATAAATCATTCATGAAGCATTCAAGTCAAAACAGAACTTTTGTTTGATTGGGTAATTTATGTAATGAAACTAAAGTTGTGTTTTTAAATGACTATGTCTTTGGCACAGCCCTTTAATTCATAGTTAACATTTTGGAATTTATTGTCTTCTATTTAGAAGTTTCCTGTATTGTTGTTCTTTGGTATTCCTTTTTTATTGTCCATATTCCCATGCTTATGAAGTGTTTGAAAATACCATGGCTTGAGTCAGCTGCACCTTAATCATCAAAGTGACATCTTTGATTTTTAGAACTTTTGAGAGTATTTTTGCCACAGATTTGCCCAATGCAGTATATCATTTGATTTCTTGACTGCTGCTTCCATGGATATTCACTGTTGATACAAGAAAAGTGAAATCCTTGGGGGCAGAGCCAACATGGCACTATAGACAGAAGCACCATGCTGTCCCTCCACACCAAAGATCTGAAAAACTAAGTAAAGCAGAGACAGATATCAGTCCTGGGAACCTAAATGTCAGATGAAGGAATAAAGAACTCGACCGAGCACCAAATGGAAAAAGAAACTCACAGAGAACAGAGAGAGAGGAGAGCTATGGAGTGGAGGTCCCCTGTTAGCTAACATGGCACAGATTCACTATCTTGGACCCCTTAGCCACCAAGAATGGTGGACAAGGAGTACGGGAAGGCAGCTTCATGGAGCTCCCAGCAGGAGAGAGAACAGCTGGTAACCAGTGATACATGGCTTTCCCACCCCCCACCCTTCTTCCCCCTGCTTGGCCTCCACTGCTTTCTGGTGGGCTCTGATCACTTGGCTGGGGAAGTGCTGGCTCCTTACCACTGGGATTTGCTGGCCCCCACTGGCCGGCTCCTTCAGTGCCATTTTATTGTTGCTGTTGTTGCCTTTTTAAAGCTTCTTTTGGTTTCTTTTCTCTGTATTATCTCCTTCCTTTCCTTTCTCTCAAACACCTGGCTCTGTGTGCCATCTCCATTCCTTCCTGACAGTCTGTGTCACTTCTTCAGTCAGTACCGCCATGCTGGTGGGCTCCCTGGGGGCATTCTTTTTTCCTTTTTTTTTTTTTTTCCATTTCCCAGTTTCTTCTCTCTCTCTCTACCTTCCTTCTTTTCTTTTCTCCCAAATACCTGGCGCTGTGTGCCATCTCTGCTCCTTTTTGACAGGCTGTGCCACTTCCCAGGTCTGTGCCACCATGCCAGTATGCTCCCTGGGGCTGTTTCTTTTTCTTTGTTTCTCAGTTTCTTGTCTCTCTCTACCTCCCTTCTTCTTTTTTCTCCCAAACACCTGGCTCCATGTGGCATCTCCACTCCCTCTTGACTGGCTGTGGAGTGCCACTCAGCTAGGGAGCCCTTTCCTGTGTCCACACCACCAAACCAGTGGGCTCCCTTGAGGCTTTTTAAAATCTTTTTTTGGTTTCTTGTCTTTCTATACCATCCTTCCTTTCTTGTCTCCTGAACACCTTACACCATGTGCCATCTCTGCTCCTTCGTGAAGGGCTGTGCGGTACCATGTGGCTAGGGATCCTCTTCCCTAGTCTGTACCACCACGATGGTGGGCTCCCTTAGGCATGTTATTTTTTTCTTTCTTTTTCTTTTCTTTTCTCCATTCCTGTCTCTCTCTACCTTCCTTCTTTACCCTTCTCCTGAACACCTGGTGTTGTGTGCTGTCTCCACTCCTCCTTGATGGGCTGTGCAGTGCCTGTTGGCTGGAGATCCACTTCTGGTGGACTCCTTCGGGGCATTTTTTCTTTTTTTCCCTGGGTTCTTGTCTCTTTCTACCTCATACCTTTCCTTCGTGCCAGCCACCTGACATCCTTTTTTTTTTGTCTCAGTTTCTTGTCTCTCTCTACCTTTCTTCCTTTACTTTCTTCTGACCATCTGGCCACATGTGCATTTCTCTCTCTCTTTTTTATTTAAAAAAAAAAAAAAAATCTAGTTTATCTCTCTCTGACTTCCTTCCTTTCCTTTCTTCTGCCCAACTGGCTGCATATGTCACATCTGTCCCTTCTTGATGGGCTGTGCCACACCACCCAGGTAGAAAGCCACCAGCATATGGCTTCCCCGGGTCTGTGCCACTCCAACAGCAACAGTAGGCTCCCTCAGCACTTTTTCTTTTTTTAGCTTGTTTCTCTCTCATCTTTCTCTTCTTTTGCACATCTGCTTAGCTCCAAACGTCACATCTTCACCTTTCTCTCCTGCCTATCTGCACTGTGCACTGACCGTCACATCCCTGTGTGAGACAGGCACAGTATACCAGAACCTGCCCTTCTCTGACCCCCAGTGCCCCCCCATCAGCCCCAGTAAGTGCTGTAAACGACCCATCCCAGCCCCTGTACCTCTGCTGGACCTGCGCTGCTGCACCATAGCTGAGTGACTGGCCCTGCACATTGAACAAGGTGGTGAGAAGTATCATGCCCACAGATGAGCAAACAACAAAGAATGACTAGCCCGCATGCTCAGACAAAGCCAAATAAAACAAAAAAGCAGGATGAAACAGATTTACTGCCAATAAATGAAGAAAATAATT